GGTATGGCAGCAAGTCAATAGCGAAACATTCAATACACTTGTGCTTTAAGTAATTAGAGATTAGCGGCCAGAAATTGAATATGAGGTCAGAGCTACACATACAGACACAAAGATTTCCGATAAAGAATTAGAAGTTGAAGCTGTAATCCAAAAATAGGTCTTAAAGAGAAAAGCTGTGAAGCATCCGGAAGTAAAGAGTGAACCTTGAGAAAACACACACCGTGTGGGAGAACACGAGCTAGCAAAGGAGCTGGAGAGGTGGCATCCAGAGAGGTCAGAGCAGCTCAAAATCATGCCCATATCAGAAGCTAAGAAAGATGTGAATTCCAAAAATTGACCAGTAGGAGCAAACACATGAAACACATGGCCAGAAAGCAGGATAAGGTAAATAAGGCAAGTTTAAAAAATGAGGGAGAGAAGGCCAATGAATTTGCCAACAACAAAAAAGTTATTAGCAGCCTTTAAAAATATATTTCCAGTGCAGTAGGTTTTTTTTCCACATTTCCGACTTATTTATATTGATTTCTTAGAAAAAAAAAACCACACTATTGTTTGTTAGAAATATGTAGCCTTTTGTCATTTTTATAAGATATACTAGAGAAATTTACCAATTAGAAATAATCACTTTAGGAATTTCTCCCCAGTTGCACTGTGTATACAGAGTGCATTCTTTAATAGGTCATTGGATTCTTTTTTTCTATAAACGCTGCACAGCTCAAAGATATATCGGACTAAAACCTCTTTAATCCATCAATGACCAGCCTAAAGGCTATGCTGGGTACTTTCAGGTAATGATAAGAACACCAGGTCATTGAAGAATTAATTTTATTTCCTAAGTTTCAGGTGTATTTTAAACTCTTCTTGGGAATTTAATTTCAGGAACATGGCTTGAGTCTACTCAAACTATTAAGATTTAAGACCTTCTATAAATAATTATAATTTCTGATTAAGTCTAATAACAGTAATTGCTTTTTCCTCTCAAGTGTTATTCTTCTAAGAATCACAGACCAATTATTTGGCCACTTCTCACAGCATCCTTATAGGCTAGATTTTAAGAAAACACCCCAGGAACTAAAAGCCTGTAGTTTTAAAGCAAACAAATTCAGCTTTTCTCAAAGACAGGAAAATATATGAAAATCAGGTCCAGTCATAAAAAAATTATATCTTAAACATATGCCCTCGGGCCTTCTTTTTTCTTCCTATCAAAACATCACTATCCGTGCCCTTAAGCTCTCTTTTTTTTCTCCCTCCTATTAGAATTTAGGATTGGAAAAGGATCTTTTTATCAGCCATTCATAACTTAATGTGAATTTAATATGAACCCTCCCAAGGCATCTACATTTCAAGCATTTTTCTAATTTATGTATTTATTCACCCAATAAATATTTATTGAGCTTTCTGTGTAATACTAGTTTCTGTGAGAACTATAAAGTGAATTAGATATGAAAGCTACTTTTAAAGTAGCGTGAAATGTATGCAGTCAACTATGAGTCTGAGGCTCAGTGCAAAGATCAGGGCTGGAAATAAAAGTTTGGAAGTTATTAACAGGTGATATTTAAAGCCATGGCCGGGATGAGACCAGGTAGGGAGTAAGCGTAATTGAGGGAGAGTTCTGTGGACTGAGCCCTGGGGTGCCCCACTTCAAGGTGGGGGAAATGAGGAAGAAGCTGCAGAGGCTGAAGAGCAGCGGGTGAGTGAGGTGGGAGATTGCATCTCAGAAAACAGCCCTTTGCAACTGACTCTTTCATTAGTCAATGCTGGTACATGTGTCTACGGGGTTTTCTCAGTTGCCAGTGTGGTGGTGTTGGTCTTGGATTATGCTTGACTAGTGAGACCAGTGTACTGGATAGCTTCCCACAGTGTTTTCCACATAGGTGATTTCTTTTCTTTTCTTTTTTCTTTTTATATGGAAAGTTAAGTAAATATATTCAGAAGTTTTAAAAAATAACGTGACCACCTATTACCCATACCATTTAGAGATGCAATATTTGTTTTTTCAAATAGGATACAAACCCACTTTCTACATCCGCTCAATGAAAATAATGTTTTGAAATCCCAGTCTGACTAGATTTGTGACCCAACCTCTCTTCTCATTCATCTCTACCCTCTGCAGTCAAGGCAGCCTTTCTGCAGCCTCTTAAAATGCAGTGTAGGAACCTATTGATTTCACTGTTCTTCCACCTCCCTCCCTGCCTTTGGCCACAAATTAGTCTGAGTCAGAAAAGGCGGTGAGATAAAAAGGCTATATATAGACTGTCCTTTTCTATTCGTTCAAAAAGCTTAAAGAACACACACAAAAAAACAGGTGCAAACTATATGTCCTCCAGTTGAAATCGTTTGTACTTTCAAAGCAAATATTTGGCTTGCTACACCCTACCCATTAAACACAGGAAGCAATGCTGGTCAGAATGTATCTTTTCCTAAAAGTATATTGCAGAAGATAATCAAAATCACCCTGTCACTTAACAGAAGTAATTGTTTTTATCATTAACCCTGAAATGTAAAATATCCATGTTGTTTTTATGTTTCTATTCTCTAATTTAGGGAAGAAGGAATTGAGCTATTGTCTCATAAAGCCAATATTACTTTCTTTTTTCAGGTCAGGTTTTTAGCAGTAGAAGAAAGTAGTGTCAGCATTAATTCTTTAAATGTCTGTCCTTGCCTTCATCTTTTGGTGTGGGATGTTTTGGGGGGGATTATATTGTATTACTTCTAAGCAATGGATTCTGCCATTTATGGAGCAAGAGGAGTATGCCTGAGTTTCCCTGGTGCTGTGTGCCAGCAACCCCGCTTCCATGTAAAAGGAGAAGGCAAAGAAGAGAGCTACTACCTGAGGAAAGGCCACAGCTGTAAACCATGGAGCAGTAGGTCTAGAAGTGTGTGGAGGGCAGTTGGTAGGGAGAGAAGCAAAGGGAGGGTGCATAGGGGAGACGACTGTTAATGAATTATCTAACTACACCCCTCCCCAACACACACACACACACACACACACACACACACACACACACTACATACCAAAAGCATCATAATATGTTTTTATTTGGACATATTTTATTTTTAATTAATAATCATGCACTATATTGGGTTTTACTTCCCAGGTTTTGACAGCTTGAACCTAGAATCCCATTGCAGACCCTGTCTTATTTTTTAAAATAATGCTGGTGATCCTTCTTTCACTTCAGTGCTTCCAGACTGGCTGGAAAGCGAAGTGATTATTTAAAGGGTACCAGTGAAATTAGCAGTAGTCTGAAATATAGTGGTGCCACTGTTATGCACAAATTCTTCATAAAACCTCACTGCCCGGGCTGGAGATAATACAGTTGTAGTAAAACCAATTTGTCAAATGTGATCTGGAAACCTAAAGGGGATTTCCAGCAGATGTGTTCTCCTAATGCTGGCGCTAAGTCGATCAGAAGATGCAAACACCATCTCTAAACTGGTCATTATTTACATCCTTTGGCTGCATTCACTGATTAAGTGCTCCTAGCACCTGGGATCCGTCTCCAGGCAAAGGCTTTCTTTTGTCATGTTGCCGAGCCAGGTCTGGGCCCTTCTGTTTTATGTCAGAGGAAATATTTTAGCTCTGAGTCTCTTTGTCCAACTGGATTTGGCAGTTCTCTTGTAGGTTTGTTTTAGTTCTTCAGGAGGAATCAGTTTACTAAGCTAGCTGCTGTTTGGACTGGCTAATTAGACCTGCTGTGTGTGTGTGCAGACCACCTCCAAGCTAAAGACAGCCCTGCATAGAACTCGAGTTCCATGTGTATTAATTAGGACTGATGGGTATTGTGTTACCTACAGCCAGTCTGACTCCACTGTTTGCTGTCTAATTGCATGTCCTTGTGAAAATATATCCCCACTTGAGAAGTGCCCAGAATTCCCAGTATTTGGGGAATCTTGTGGAAAGGAGAGAAGTGGGCTGAGTATTCCTTCATGGTTAGCCAGGCCACCAAGAGGTGTGGCTATATGACATGGGACACTTGGCCTCTGCAGAAACTTTGGAATTAGCTATTTATACTCATTTATCAAGGTTTCATGCAAAGTGGATAACCAATTATGCAAGCTTTCCCAACACTGCAGTTCCTTTGGCTGGGGGGTATTCTCAGCAGCTCATAAAAGAAAAACACAAATATTGTCTCAGATAGTTAATTGCATTTCACTATGGTCTCCATCCACATTCGGGGAGAGACCCATCATATTCCCCTAAGGAGCTATCAGCCTAATGGATTAAACAGCTGTGCAAACAGTTCTACTGCAGTGTGATAGATGGTCTCTCAGATTTCTAAATGAGGCAAATGGCTGGATGGTGATGCCCTAACCAAGTTATAGAACCCTGAAGAAGGAACAGGTTGGAGGGAGAGAGGTGGGGAGAGATGTTAATTTGGGTTTCAGGTGCTTACAGGGGCGGCTCTACATTGGGCTTAGGAGACAGATGAGGAACTGATTTTTACAGGAAACTATTATTTTGTCAGGGCCCTATCAAAAGTAAGGCATAGTACAAGCCAGTTTTGATTGGAGGGAGAGATACATAAAAGGTTAAGCGTGGAGGTCACAGTGATAGGACACCAGGTTAGGGGGGCTAGTAAGCTTGTCAAGAGCAGTCTTACTAACTCTCCGTTTTATTAAGAGTGGGCCCTGATTACAGTATGTTCAAGAGTTGGAAACTTTCAGAGAGGTTAATCAGTGAGTGGGCTTTTAAGGGAACAGCACATGCTCAAGGATTGGGTATGAGAGAAGAAGATGCTATTTTCATTTCTTTGAACATGATAATTGGAATGTTGTCTGAACCAAATACAAGTCACTTTTTCTTTCTTTTTGTTTGCCAGATCTGCTGGTCTTGCCAGATGTTGAAATAGCCAGTTTGAATTATTTCCATTGTTTTTTCTAGCTAGAAAAGAATAGATTTCTGGAATCTGTCATTATTTTTAAAGAACTGTGAGTAGAAGTAATTCATAGCCTTCATTTTTGCATGTGACTCCTTAGAAAGAGGGAGTTGAGGGTATGTCTTCTGTTACCGCGAGGAACATGGTAAAATTCTCTCCCAAATGACCCTCATTTAAAGAACATTTTTGAATCAATTCCATAGTGAAAATTAAAGAGGAAAGGTAAGGTCACAGAATACAATACACAGCAGATTGTCGGAACTTTAAGGAGTTTGAGGGAGATTAGATACAGAGCAGTGTTACACTTTTCCTTTTAGCTCAATTATGGAGTCTGAGCATCTTGACTCAGCTGATTATGCAGATTGGCTCTTCAGCAGCACTTTCCTTTCTTCACCAATTTTCCTGTTCTCCAAAGACCTTCAAGTTTCTATCACATCGCGTAAGGAACTGCCTCCATTTGGGTGTTTTATTGAAGGTCCACTGGGTTCCATCTTCTTAAGTAGATGTCCGCCTCAGAAGTAAGTGCCCATTATGCCTGTTGGGTTACAATTGTACTAAACTCAGAATCGTTGTGGGTGGTTGAAAACATTTCAGTGCTCAAGGAGAGGGTAATTAGCTCATTTATATCCTCTTCTGTGTCCCATTCTGTCCTTGGTACAAAGGTGCCAGCCTGTCTGTGTACGAATTAGTGGGGCATATAGCCTGGCGTTATTTAAGTCAGCTATCAGTCTCCAAAGAAACTGAGCAGATTATGAACCGAATTAAATTTGCATTCAGACTGTGTGCACATGTGTTCTCCTCCTCGTACATTACGTGCTGGCAACCCCCTTCTCAGCAGCAGTTCACCAGGGAAGGCTAGCTCTTTAGAGAAGAGTGTTCCATGGAAGATCACAAATGCGGGATTTGCATTTACACATAAAAGACCATGGCGAGTCAATTTTTAAAAGTGCGCTTTTCATTTTACACACAAATTCGCTCTAAACAAGAATTTTTCAAGTAGAAATCTCCAAATGTATTTTGTTTATTCAATAGTAATAACATCAACTGGTTTTTATATCTCCTCTCTTTGTTCTATTAGCATGAAAGGTAGCATAGATATTTCTATTAATGAAATTCCAATCGTATTGCTTTAGGCTTTTCATAAACTTTGATTTAAGATACCATATTAAGTAAAATGTCAAACTATAATTGATGGCAAAGAACATTAATTAGTTTAGGATTAGATTTAATTAGCATTTTAATGAACTTGAATCATATCTCTTTGAAGAGGAATTTTGTAGAGATTTAGTATTGTGAAATTTTTTTTGTAATTAAATATTTACTGCACACTGTCTAATTACTATAAACCTGATATAAAATTTAAATACAAGAATGATTATTTCTTAAAAAACTAAAACTTAATAGAAAAAAATGTTAAGAAAACACAGGATCTTATTACTATAAGAAGCTGATGACAAGATAATCAAAGCAGAGCTGCATATTTTCCAATGTGTGTTCCTTGGGACCCAGATACTCCAGGGAAAAAATGTTTGGGACACATTGCATACCATAGCCCCTGTTGGGGTCTACCATTTGACAGTACCTTAAAAGCTCTATATCAGTGGTTCTCAACCTTCCTAATGCCGCGACCCTTTAATATAGTTCCTCATGTTGTGGTGACCCCCAACCATAAAATTATTTTCGTTGCTACTTCATAACTGTAATTTTGCTACTGTTATGAATCGTAATGTAAATATCTGATATGCTATATGTGTTTTCCGATGGTCGCGACCCACAGGTTGAGAACCGCTGCTCTATATAGACCGATAGTTTAAGTGGTTTAACTTTGATAATTTGGTATTTCCCAAAGTTACTAAAGCCCGAACCTTTTTACTAAATAACTCCTATTTACCTCCAGTTGAATTGGTACTCCATGGAACCACTAAAGTGGAGGATAAGATTATTTAATGAATTTAGTCAATTGATTTTAGATAATACTGTATATGATGCTCAATTTTAGGAGGCCAATGCTTTATCCATTAGGCAACTGGGGCTGTATATGATGCTCAATTTTAGATAACACTATATATGATGCTCAAAACCTCATTCCAAATTTAGATCTTTTTGGTAATTATGGTTCTTGTTTTAACTACATACTAAGATAAATTCTAAGATACTTTTCGGTGAGTTCAGTCGCTGTTTTTCTTTGTTTAGCTTTGTTTTTAAAGAAGATTTTTTAAAATGTTTTCATTGATTTTTAGAAAGAGGGGAAGGAGAGAGGGAGACGGGGAGAGAGAGAGAGATCCTGCACACCCCCTACTGGGGATGGAGCCCGAAACCCGGGCATGTGCCCTGACTGGGTGATCCCTCGGTGCATGGGACAATGCTCAACCAACTGAGCCACACCCGCCAGGGCCAGAAGCTAGTTTTTTAATATTGCAATATAACAGAAATTCATTCAGAAGTAAAATAGAATCAAACCACCATTTAGCGGCAGAACTTTTATGTATAGAATAAATTCACAAATATATTTGAGTAGGTTTGTTTATCCGCCACTGTAATATCATTAGTCATTCTGCTTATATTTGCTAAGTACATCTATTGTGTGATATATGCCCACAAGATGATATGTCATATAGCAAGTTGGCCTTAACCTCTAAAATCTTAAGTCAAGCAAACTGTAAAATGTTGTGGTAAGCCTAGAAAAAAATAAGCCTTCTCATAACTCAATTTTATACTCTAATATATTCTGGTACTTCAAAATAATTGAGCATGTACTTAAGTCCTGAACTCTTAGGTAGTCAAATTTGTTCATTACTCATTTCTTAGTGGAACATTGAAAATACCCTTTTTTCCCCTTAAAGTTAATAAGCAATTGAAAAATAAGACATGGAAGACACTTAAGTAGCAATTAAAATAACAGCTCTATTTTGATAATGTGGATTGAGGAACCTGATTTTAATATGAGCAGGCATTTCAGAGAAGAGGAAATAGGAATAAGCCTTAAAAAGATGCTCAACCTCATTACTAATCAAGTAAATGCAAATTAAAATCACCAGGAGACACCATTTTATCTACAGCAGATTAACAGAAATTAGAAAGCCAGCAATATAAAGTGTTGCTGAGGATGTGGAGCAACAAGAGTTCTGCAGTTGAGCATTGCTGCACTTTGGAAAGCAATTTGGCATTATCTAGTAAAGTTGAAACTGCACGTATGCATGACCCAGCAGATCCATCCCTAGGTGTACATTGTAAAGAAATGTGTAGCTTGGCCTGTGTGGTTCAGTGGTTGAGTGTCGACCTATGAACCAGGAGGTCATGGTTCGATTTCCAATCAGTGCACATGCCCGGGTTGTGGGCTCGATCCCCAGTAGGGAGTGTGCAGGAGGCAGCCAATCAATGATTCTCTCTCATCATTGATGTTTCTATCTCTCTCTCCCTCTCCTTTCCTCTGAATTAAAAAATAAAAATATATTTTTTAAAAAAGAAAAAATAAGAAATGTGAAACCTTGTACAAAAATATTTGTAAGCATTTGCTTATAATTAGAAAAAATAGAAAACAAAAACATTTATCACCAGGAAAATGGATAAACAAAGAGTAGAGTACTATTTGTCAGAGAAAATGAACGAATTACAGCTACATATGTCAACATGGATAAATCTCAAGAATATTAGATGAAAAAAAGCAAATTGAAAAAAAATACACAGAGAATGATTCTGTTTTTGTAAAGTTAAAACTTGACAAAACTAAAAAATATATTGCTTAGAGAACCATTCATTCATAATTAAACTTTAAAAAAAAACCAAGGAAATGATAACCACCTACTTCAGGGTGGACGGGAGCAGGATGAGGTCAGAGAAGGGCATACTGAAGACTTCCTAGTCATCCTGGCATGCAACCTTAGTTGTAACCCTCACATTGCACTGGTTTGCATGTCATTTAGGTTTCCTTTTATTATTGTGGTGCTTAATTGATGTTTTTGTTAGATCTGAGTATCCTTCATAGTGTTTTTTTTTTAAAGATTTTCTTTTGTTGGTATGGAGAGAAGAATTTTATGCTCCACAACCTGTAGGTAACTGCCTGGAATCCCATCACTCTAATTTCTTATTTATCTGGAGTTCTTTTATAAATAAGTTTGTGGGTTCCTGACCCCCAATCAGAGAAACCCTCTTTTAATAACTTATCCTATATAATAAAGAGGTAATATGCAAATTGACCATCACTCCAACACACAAGATGGCTGCCCCCATGTGGTCAAAGATGGCCAGCAGGGAAGGGCAGTTGTGGGTGATCAGGCCAGCAGGGGAGGCCAGTTGGGAGGGACCAGGACTGAAAGGGAGGGCATTTGGGGGCGATCAGGCCTGCAGGGGAGGGCAGTTGGGGGGAACCAACATGCAGGGGAGGGCATTTGGGGGCGATCAGGCCTGCAGGGGAGGGCAGTTGGGGGGAACCAACATGCAGGGGAGGGCATTTGGGGGCGATCAGGCCTGCAGGGGAGGGCAGTTGGGGGGAACCAACATGCAGGGGAGGGCATTTGGGGGCGATCAGGCCTGCAGGGGAGGGCAGTTGGGGGGAACCAACATGCAGGGGAGGGCATTTGGGGGCGATCAGGCCTGCAGGGGAGGGCAGTTGGGGGGAACCAACATGCAGGGGAGGGCATTTGGGGGCGATCAGGCCTGCAGGGGAGGGCAGTTGGGGGGAACCAACATGCAGGGGAGGGCATTTGGGGGCGATCAGGCCTGCAGGGGAGGGCAGTTGGGGGGAACCAACATGCAGGGGAGGGCATTTGGGGGCGATCAGGCCTGCAGGGGAGGGCAGTTGGGGGGAACCAACATGCAGGGGAGGGCATTTGGGGGCGATCAGGCCTGCAGGGGAGGGCAGTTGGGGGGAACCAACATGCAGGGGAGGGCATTTGGGGGCGAGTATTAAATAAAAATCTGGAAGAAACACAGGGAAAAATCTATACCTTTCCTATTGAAGTGATGACTGAGTCAGCCCTCCTTTGGCACTCACCAAAACCTCCTGTGTAGTCAGCACTCTAAGATGACTCCCAAGTACCTAGCCCCCTAGTATACACACCCTGTGTAAACCCCTCTCATTGAGTGCTTGGTGGGGTGGGGGGTGGGGGGTGAGTGCACGGAACCAAGAATGTGCTAGGCTACTGGTTCCTGTGATGGCCCGGTCATCTGTAATGACATTACAGTATGTAGGCTCCTACTCCTGCTGGCTTTGAAGCTGCCATGTGGCTAGGAACTGAGGGCCACTTCAGCAGCCAAGAGGGACTCCCCGCCAACAGTCAGCAAGAAAGTAAGTCTGTCCTGCATCTTCAAGGAACTGGATTCTGCCAGAGACCTGGATGAGCTTGGAAAAGGATACCAGGTTCCATCTAAGAACCACAGCTCTGCTGACACCTTGATTACATCCTTGGGAGACTTTGAGTAAAGACCCAGTAAAGCTGAACCCAGACTCCCGGGACCCAGAGAAATTGTGCGATAATAAATGTGTGCTGTTTTAAGCTGCTGAATTTGCAGTAAGTTGTTACAGGGCAATAGGACATGAACACACATCTATTATTATACCTCACTGCTGAACAGCCGGGGCTGCCAACCCGTGTTGGCCCCTTCTTTCTTTCCTTCACATTTTCATAGAGTTGTCGGTTTCTAGGAACAAGCCAGAATTGATATCCTCTTTCATCATGAAAAGGAAAGAAGATTGCCACAGTTTAAGGCCTGTACTCCAGCCAGTCCTCTTTCCCCTTTTATCCGAGAAATGCCCTCCTCATGTGCCCGGAAAAGGCTGCCAAAGCTATAACACAGGTTACTAGGTAAGAAAGTCAAACTTCCTTCCTTCCATCCTTCCTTCCTTCCTTCCTTCCTTCCTTCCTTCCTTCCTTCCTCCCTTCCTTCCTTCCTTCCTTCCTTCCTTCCCATATTCCTCCCCTCCTTTCTTCTTTCCCTTTCTTCCTTCCTTTCACAAGCATTTCTTAAGCAGGAGCTGTGCTATGCCCCATGCTTGCAGAGATAAAGAAAATAACCTTTTCCTTTAAGGAGCTCACTATTTAATAGTGGAGACAAATTACCACATGGTAATTATTCTGCTCTTGAACAAGCTGCTAAAAAGTGGGGGAGAGAAGGTAGTAATTATTCTGGAATCTCTTCCTTTCACTGTACACACCCACTCTCTCCATTCTCTCATACACTCATTAGGATCCTATATAAATAACATTTTTTGTTTTAGTCGAGGTTGATTTCTGTTTAAGGCACTAAATTGCTGTTCAAAATGATGAGGTTCTTTTAAACTGATTTGTGCTAGTGGAGGAAGCTGATTTGGTGTTTAGGCCTGCATTTCCCTGTAAGTTCCAGCCAGGACATCGATGATGTCTTTCTGGTTTTATTTTTCAAAGTGTGGAGTTTGTTTACCCTAATAGTCAATGGAATATGATTTCAGAAACACCATTCTGAAACATTAGAAGTGGGAGGAGTACTAAAGCCTGCTGCTGTTTCTGAGGCTGACGTTTACGGGGTTTTATAATTAGAGCAGTTTGTGCTGGCACCACATCTTGTATCTAAAAATGGCCAAGTTAAACAGGATGTTGATAATCTGCTCTTAGAACAGCTAGGTTACCTAGATAGCTGCAGCGTCCCTGGACACTTTGAACCGGGGGCAAATTAGTTGAATATGATGAAAATAAGTTGTTGCCATCAAAAGGAATTTGTTTACAGTACTTAGATTTTCAAATAAAAATAGGGTCCTATCAAAATCCCTGGGTCACAGGTTGAGGAAAAGCAAGTACAAAATTATTCAAACTCAAACAGGTCTTTTATTCTTCTAAATCCAAAACCTATGTCCAATTGCTTATAGGTGGCATTTCTTACCAAAAACAAAACAAACAAACATGAAAACACACACAAAATAAACTATAAGTATATATATAACAACTATAGAAGAGAGCTTAATCTCGGCCTTTGGCTAAGGACTGGTTTTCATTGCTTTTCTTTTATCAATGTTCAGAAACAAATTGCTTGATGCCTCTGTAGGGTGAACATTCAGAAGATGAAGAGGCGCCCAAAAACATTCTGCTATTGCGCAACTGGCTTTCCTGACTGTGCTCCATAAGATTTCACATGAAAGTGCACTTATGTCAAGCCTTTCATTCCATTTCACTATCCAAGTTTTAATTATAGACACTGTTTCTGATGTAGCAATCCTCTGCATTCTCTTCCATTTGACTTAAATTGAATAAATGTGGCCATGCTCTACTCTACACTTAGAGGCTAGAATAGAGAGAGGGAGAGAGGCAGTGTCTGTACAAGAGGTACATCCAGGTTAAGAGGGACCATCCAGTCAATGTAAGCAACCACAGGAAGGATGAGATAATGGGAGGAAACTCATCACTGACTCCCAGCTGTGCTTAGCTTCTAGTTTACAATGATTACTTCTTCTAAAGGAACAAGTGTGGATGTCTGACTTATGCTTCTTAGCAAGAATTATTCAGAGTCTCAGGGGATGCCAGAGTAATTTGAAGTATCCGTACTTGTTTTTATATACAGTTGACCTTTCAATAACATGGGGTTAGGAGGCACCAACCCCCTGTGCCATCAAAAATTCACATATAGCCCAGCTTGTGTTGCTTATTGGTTGAGCGTCAACCTATGAACCAGGAAGTCATGGTTCAAATCTCTGTCAGGGCACATGCCCGGGTGCAGGCTCAATCCCCAGGTGGCATGCAGGAGGCAGCCAATCCATGATTCATCATTGGTATTTCTATCTCTCCCTCTCCCTTCCTCTCTGAAATGAATAAAAATATATTTTAAAAAAAAAGAAATGGGATGTCAGAGAAGACTTCTAAGTAAGAGAACAAAAGGAGAAAGAAACCTTAGGCAAGTAGGCTTGACCCTGAAGACTGTTGCCCACCCTCCCTCCTGAAATGGGGACCCAAAATGATTCCTTCGTTTTATTTCATTATCTTTATAAGCTTCCACCATAGACTAGATGACCACTAAGGTCCATTCCCCCCAGAAATTCAGGAAGGTTAGAAGATTAAATTCAGGAAGGTTAGAAGAGAAGTATCAAGGGAGGATCAGATGTCCTTTATCTGTCTGAGCAGGCGAGAGGTCAGGTGCAGTTACGGCAGAAAGTACAGGAAGATATCACAGGTGAAAGCTAATGGTAGGGGTTATGGTGTTCTTGTAATGACCTGGAAAGAAAACCACAGGGAACAAGCAACCATTGAACAATGACTGTGTGCCAGATAATTTCTTAGGCCTTGCTAGAGATTGCTGAAACCACTAAAGCTTAGATCATTTGCCTGAGGGCATTTAGCTACACTACGAAGCTAGATTGTCTAATCTAAAGCTCATATTCTTTCCATCACCTTCTCTGGCAGAACAGCTCTCCCTTGCTTTTGTGGATGGCAGCCGTGTATTCTGCATCCTGAAGCAGCAACAGCAGCAACCTGTGATGAGGGTTCAGCTGGGCTAGCTCACCTGCTGATGGTGCTGTTGAATCCCAAACAGCTTTTCTGTAGGGGCCATGGAGTGTGAAACAGGCAACAAGAGTCCATCAGTAGCATCTTCCTCTGCCTGGGGAAAAAGTTAAGAAAGAGAAAGCGAAGTCTAACAGAGCTGACCTTTTTCATTTTTTGTCTCTCTCTCTCTTCCCATTCCCCCAGCCCACTTTATTTTAGGGCTTGAACACAAAAGGCCAAATTTTAAAGAACATCCTTGTCATAGTATCAGTAGGTTTAACCAAATGGTTAAAGTGGAGCCAGTTGCTTTCCCTATAAGTGGCAGCCGTGGAATTATCTTCATTTTATCCTGTTAGGGTTGAGTAGTCCAGTATTTCAAAGAGAGATGCTACCCTCACCTGCGTTCATTGCAGAGCCCTGACCTTGTGTTAGTTGACCTAGTTGCTATTATTCATTGTTCACCAAACACCTAGGATCCTTAAACCAAGGGTAGGGGTGGAGAGGGAAGGGGTAGAAGTGGGATATTGTGGAGGCTTGGAGCATTGCTTGTGAAGGACAGACACAAGTAGAGTGCCTCAGAAGACAGAAAAGCCTTGGAGTATTGGGTCTAGGACAGTGATGGCGAGCCTATGACACACGTGTCAGAGGTGACACGTGAACTCATTTTTTTGGTTGATTTTTCTTTGTTAAATGGCATTTAAATATATAAAATAAATATCAAAAATATAAGTATTTGTTTTACTATGGTTGCAAATATCAAAAAATTTCTATATGTGACATGGCACCAGAGTTAAGTTAGGGTTTTTCAAAATGCTGACACGCCGAGCTCAAAAGGTTCGCCATCACTGGTCTAGGAGATGGGCCCAGGGCCCCACACCAACCCCTGGGAAGGAGATAGAGTATGTGATCCTTTGAGACAAAATTGAGCCATCTCACAGTTTTGCTTGAGCTTGGGTCTGCTTATTGAATAGGTAAGTAACCCAAGCAAAAGGAAGTGGTAGACAATTGAGGAAGCTTTCAAACCTGGTGTAAAACATGTAGTGTTGTGGTTTATGTGGTACAGGGCCCCTTTAATTTTGAGAGAAGTAACCATTAAGTCTCCAGGAAGTGGTTTTGACTATTTTCAGAAGTGCTGAGGGCTTGTGTCTCATTATTTAAAGGCAAAATGCTTACACCTTCTCTTTGTTGTTGGTATAGTAATACATGCTGAAGGAATAAATAAAATGAATAGGACATGCAAGATTAAAATGACACGAATGGAAGAAGTACAGGCTAAAACTCATGTCAGAATGATTGGTTTGTTTCCCAATTAAATAAAATCATGTCATGCTTCATGCATGAGTACTGTAGGGGAGGAAAATTTTTCCCTCTACCCTTCTAGGTTCTTTTGGCTGATCTCCTAATTAAACTGATATAAAACAAATTAACAGGAGAAAACCAAATTTACTTTTGTACATGTAGGAGCCTCACATAGACATGAGAGGTTCAAAGACAGTCAGGTAATTGAGGCTTATATGCCATCCCGAGCTAAGCAAAAGGATGTTCGGGTCCCCGGACTTCAGAGGGAAGGAAGACAATTTACAAGAAGGGAAGAGCAAATGTTTGGTAAACAAATGTTTGCTATGCCACCCAGAGACAATGGGACACAGAGGGGCATCCAGAGAGGACTCCCTGAAACTTACTACACTTACCCTAAACTCTTTGTAGTTATTTGTAGTGTTAGCTCTCTTCCTGGACTAGGCCCTGTATCTAAATTCTCTCTTGATTTAAAGGGAAAGTAAAAAAGGAAAGGAAAGAGGAAAGGAAGAGGGAAGGGAAGGGAAGGGAAGGGAAGGGAAGGGAAGAGGGAAGAGGGAAGGGAAGGGAAGGGAAGGAAAGGAGAAATGAGGAGAGAGGAGAGGAGAGGGGAAGAGAGGAGAGGGGAGGGGAGAGGAGAGGAGAGGACTCTTCCTGAGTCTTTTGGGACTTGTCTTCAGCTCAAAATAATCCACATGTCAAAGTGCAAGCCTTTGGATCTTTAAAAGTCGACTTCCAGAAAGGTGGTCCTGGATCTTAGGCAATGTATACTCTGTTTGGAAACGGGGTAGAAATTTACCAGATTTGAGTCTAAAATGGGTTATTTCTTTTGTGTTCCCTCTTTAAGGCCACAAGAATTTTCCGAAGTTGATGAGCATACTCTAAAAATTATTAGCTGGCCAGTTGCTTGGTGTTTAGTGAAATATATTCTTTCATCTCTGAATAATCCTTTACTTTCATCTTTTCATTAAGATATTTCTTTCAAGGAGTGCCAGGTCAGCATTTTTAAATCAAAAATTTTAAAGTACAATACATAGTTTTATAAATTATATCCTTAAGGATTTAATTCTTAAGTACTGCTAAGACACATCTCCCTTCCTTTTTTAAAACTCCTCAGCTGGTTGTCATTCAGCCATCTAAGCAGGATACTATTATAACATGTGTTCTTAATTTAAGATCCTTAAGGCTGGGAATTTCCTATTGCACATTAGCTTCAATTTCAATTTGCAAGCTATCAAGAGCAACATGTTCCCTCTCTATAAGGTTAAACATGTGCACTGAAACAGAAGAGAAAAATCAAGTACCATAATTTACTATCGACAGCGCTGAAATTGGGTACTATAGTACATGGTCAAAGCCTTTTATTAATTAAGTAATCACAGAAAATTCTATATGGATAATTTGTGGATATTTTAAAGTCAGGATGGGAATTTGCTTCTTTTTTATGTTTTCTTAATAAATTCAATTTTCTTAAATAGCCTGTGGGTTTATATTCATATTTGCAACTCAGGAATGTTTTTAAGAGCTTTTGATATCAGTAATGTCCATATTGAGATTTGACATACACTTGCACTCATGTTAAATCAGTTGTCCTAGTTATCATTTTAAAAGAATCTTTACACATACACATACACACCACTCAAATGCAAGCCAGAAATTCCTCCTTACCAACTTTGTTCGGGTAACTCCTGTTGAAAGGAATCTCCTCCATTTCATACCACTGTCAGGCTTCTCTCTCACCCAGATTCTATCGGAATGCCTGGCATAGCAGAAAAGTGTTTGTTAAAATCGTGTTAAATGAATGAATAACTTGAGCCTCCAGGCTAGCTAGCAGATGAGTTCAAAGGCTATGGAAGCATCATTTATAGACTCAGACAGAATCTTGTTGCAGCCAGAATGGCAGAAGCCCAGCAAGTCAGGGAAGATGCCACCCTGGGGTTGATAGCTCCTTGAAGGGCGGGATGAGGCCAGACCAACAGGGGAAGCCACGTGGTGAGGTGTGCTCCCATCCACACCTAGCAGTTCTACACGGCCTGAGGGCCAGGACCAGCTCTACAAACAAAGCTCCTACAAACTTCTTGCTTTTGTAGGAACTTGAAGAAGTAGAGTAGGTAGAGAGAAACATTCCCCTGGTGCTGCCCTAAACAAAATTTAATTACATGCATCATGTTTAATGTTTAAAAACCTCGTTTTCTAGTCAAGTCAGAGGTTGATTTCATTATGTTTGCCTAGAAAATAGCCTGGTGACAAGTGAAAAAGCTACCTGCAGAAGCCTGTTGGACTTCGGGTGGATCCACAGGGAGGGGCTGTGAGAAACTTTACTTCTCAGCTCTTAACCAGAGGGACAACTTTTCCAGGGATCCTGAAAGGAGCTCTAGATAAATGAAGGTTGTGCCCCTTGAAGTGTTGTTTTTTAGCTCAAAAGATGTCTCCTGCAGTTCATATGTTAAACAGTTGGGGGTCAAGAGAGGATTTAGACCTACTTAAAGCACAGTGTTCCCTATTTCCTTATAGAATCTCCTCATTTTTAATTGGCCTGGCCAGCTCCTTTATCAGTTGTGCTCATGCAGTTCATGCCTTAAGGGCCAATTAAACTCTTGGGCCTATAACTGCTTTCTTTTCACACTTGGAAAATATGAACCTTTAACTTTTATTCAACGGAAGCTCAAGCTAGCAGCCTGGAATATGCCCCAGTCCTGGGGAGGTGCCTAGAGGACTAGACTGAGCAGCTGACATGCAGCCTAAGTTCTGGTTCTGTTGCAAACCAGCAACTTTAATAACCAATATTCTCTTTGTTTCTAATGTTTCCTATACATATGTATTTATTAAAGTAAATGAAATTGCAGTAATATTTTATAGACAGTTTTTCCCATGTAAAAATACTAATGTAATATACTTGTAAAGAAATTTTATGTATAGTTTTATTTCATTTTTCACTTATCAGCACTTTCCCATGACAATATATATTCTTCAGAAGCACTATATTTGATGCTCATAAAATGCTTTATTATTTGGATATTTCATAATGCATATATGTCTACTCATTTTCATTATTTCTATTGTCTTGCTGTTTTAAATAATTCTGTGAGGTCAGTCCTTGTACATGAAGTTCTGTTGTCATCTCTGATTATTTCCTTAGGATAAAATTCAAGAATTGGCATTATTGAGTCAAAGAGTATAAGCAAGTGTTTGTTCTGTTCTTTGTTTTAAAAGTGAAATATATATTTTAAAATCCCTTTTAAGAAACTGCTTTTGCACTCATTTTTATTCTACAGATTCTTTTTTCCCCCTTTCTTTGTGCTGGGAACCAGTAGGCTATGTGAATTTCTTACCCTCTTGTGTCTTCAAGAGGGAGTTAAGGTCTCACTGCCTTCCAGCCAGCCTCCCTTCAGTTCTCTACTCCTCCTGTTAGCTCCCCCGACTGAGCCCCTCTGTGTACATTCCCATCCACACAGCCAAGCTCTCAACGCACTGTCATAGGATTTACCACGCTAGATCCTAAGTGTCTGGTTTCATCTTGCCATTAGGTAGTAAATCCTTTGGGGTTAAGGACTATCCTCTGCTCATCTGGATTGTTCCAGTACCCAGCCTAGTAATTTGCATGCAGTAGGCATTGAATGAGGGAACAAAGAACATAAAATGATTTTGTACACACAGATGCACATGCACTTATGCACACACACAGTCAATCTTCTAATTAGAGGTTGGAGAGAATAACATGGTCGTATTTTCTCCATTGTTGATGTGCTGATGGGATCTCACTTTTTCTGTGTTCAGATGGGCCAGATGGAAGTAAAGTCAGGATCTAATCAGATTTTGGGGTAAGCAGCCTTCTAGGAGGGGTAGATTTCAAGTCAGTTTGTAGTCCCACTGATGTCAAAGTAAGCTAGTTAATAATAATTGGATCAAGTTGGCCCAAATCTGATTTGACTTTATCTATTTACCCTAGATACACATCATTGTTCAACCTTTATTTTAGTCCTTTAAATGGGGGATAGAAATGATTGTGTTCTGTTTGTATGGAAAAGATCCTCTGGAAATAATTTATATAATTACAGAACCTGCCAATGGCCCGATTCACAGGCAGCTCAGCCTTGGTTAGCAAACATTGTTGATACCTGCTATAGCATTTTTAAAATTAAGTTTCATAATTGCTAGGTCAGGTAAAATTTAAGATTTGTAATATGCAATAGACATGTGATATCTCTCCATCTACATACTTTATACAACTACAAAATAAACGTGTAGAAATCTAACAATTTATCTCTGTAGAACTGAATATAACGTAGCTTTGAGTTTGTATTAACTGATACTAAAATCTTACTCTATTCATTTCCAGGTATATTTCATAATTTCCTGATTTTTCTCAGGTTTTTATGTGTAAATACAAAGTGAGTTCATGTTTCCATCCCTCTTTTCCCCAGGGGCGATCTAAGTATTGGGATTTGTTACTGTTCTGGCACCTGCTGGGATGTCCCAGGGTCTTCAGGACATGTGGTTGGATGGCCCACATTCCAGCTCTGAAGCTCGTGAGAGTTGCCATTCCTCCCTCAGGGGAAGCCCAGCAGCTCCTGATTCACACTAGACTAAGTGAGCTTCTCCTTCAACCATTGCCTCTCCATACTGGGGCAAAAGTTTGATTTCTTGGGGTATGTTCTAGAAAGCAAGGTTTAGGTCTTCTGGGCTTCGAACTCCACATAATTCTTGGAGATCCACACATCAAGGGCATCCTCTTGTTTTCCTCTTTCTCTCCCATCTTCCCCTCTCTGCCAACCACCACCACCGCTCACCACCCTCCTGCCTGGCCAGTCTTAGTGGTCACGGGGAGCCAGAAGAGAGGACTCAGGGGGCAGGAAAACTCACTCTTTACTCCATCTTCATATGCCTGTGGTTTAGACCAGAACCTGGACTAAAAAAGATTTTTATCTTGAGAATACTGTATCTTTGTGAATTTCCACAGTCACCTTGACATTCAAAAGCTAAACATGACTCTTTCTGTTTGCACTTCAGCCAGAGCAATCCTAGTCTTCCCTGGGACGATTGGTGCCTCAGACTGAATAAAGGAGGGCCATGCACACGCAGTGGGGCAGTAACTTCATTAATATCTCCAACTGTCACCCTCCAGCACATGTGTGTATATGCAATAGGTTTATAGCTTGTGGTCATTTAAATAAACTTAATAACCTCAAAGGCCAGGTTTGTTTTTCATTGAAACCATACGGATGAGGGTTGATTCTATGCCAAGAGAAAGAAAGTATAATTCTCTGTTAAGCACCAGATGAATCAGGCTGTACCTTTCATTTTCAGCCTTCTTCTCCTTCCTCTCTTGGCCTTTCTTCTCTTGGCCTTTAATGAAAAAGAAAACAACTCTTTTAAGAAAACTCAATTTCCAAAGTTTTATTAGACCCCACTCCCATAGATTTATAAAGAGACAGAGACACTACCTGTAATTTGCTGGAAACCTGAAGAAAAATGAGCTATCTCACCGAAGAATCAGCAAATAACACGAAGACATGAAAAAAAAATATAGTCCGTGCTTCTTTGGCTTGTATAGGAAGAATCAGAGAACCATGAAATTAATTTTATTTGCCATTAAGAGATACTAGACCTAGAATCCAGGATGCGATTATGTAATTATAAATTAATTTCAGTTAGCATGCTCTCATCTGAACTAAATGTCTGCAGTAGTTATGAGAAGTATGTTAATGAGCATCACAGAAGCTTGTCTGCTTGCTTGTTCTCAGGATGCCCAGGGAGTAGAGATAAAGGCTCCTGCACCAAGAGGGCCTACTGTGGTTTTCAAGACTCCCCAATGCATGTGATCAGTTTAATAGGGAACGACTCTCTCTCATGTTCCTTCTTAACTGAAAAGGAAGGGTTAGAAGGGTGTTCCCAGGCCACACTCAAGTGTGAAGTAAACATGATTATTGTAGCAGCTGAAATGTGAAGTTGAAGAACATTTCAATTTCAAAATGGTGTTCAAGAGCATCTGATGACACATCTATATTTTAACTCTGGTGAAGTGAGAAAATTAAATGAGTACTCCATCGGATTCTACAGATGAATTATGACCTCCCCCTTTAAATAAATTGGATTTTTTTTTAATAGTTAGGGTAGCATACCTCATTTGTGAAAAGACCTTTCTGGCATTCACACACTGTTTCTTATTTCTTCTAGTCATTTTGTTAGTTATATGTGTGCCGAAGAAGAGCCCAAGCATAGCTAAATCTAGAATTAAACTACATAACACTAGGGTTTAAAATAATAGTATTTGTCATCAAATTGACTGCCTCATGTTCAGCCAGTGTCAAAATCAATGGTTGATATTTGTGTTTACGCAGAAATCACATGGAAGAAATGACGATTCTAATTTGTAATCGACCTTTTTCTCACAAATGGTTATTCCTGCCACTCTGCCCTCCAGAATGTGATGAGGGGAAGTTGAGGCAGCTCGAGTTATAGAGGAAGACCCAAAAAGAGCCATTTTGGGGGGGGTGGCTTCTGACCATGCCCAGTCTGGAGACTCACCTAAGCTTCCTCGCATGTATATATGTGCCCCATCGCTGCTTTCTCTGTGTGGAAGCTCACGAAGAAAGTTTGCCCTCCTGGTACTTAGGTCTTGGTGACCCAAGGTCTTAATATGTTCTCAGCACAAGGTAGTTTGTCCTGTGAAGTAAGATTAGATTGTAAACTGTCTCTTCTAATCCTGCTAAGATTACAAAGCCCAAACAAGGAATTGCTTACAGTAAAGTGTCCTGGTTTGCTTTAGAACATTCTAGGGCCTGCAGCCAGGATTCAGGCAGGTTTCCACAGAAGGAAATAGTGACATTTCAGTGATCCTGAACCCTGCCTGCAACTCTGATTTCACATCGGGGACGCAGCCATTTTGGCCATAGCTCAGATTCTATTGTTAGTATAGGCAGAACCTTCCGGAAAGCTGCGTCATGAGGTTGCTCTTATTTACCCATAGAAACAATGGGATTGTGCTCTTGACAAAGGAATGGGCAGGCCATGAATCTTAAGTATATCCAACGCGTGAGTAAATCTGAACAGCCACACTCTAAATCCCTCATTGATAAGCCCACCTTGGACAATAAGCCCCTGAATCAGGTACTACAAGGAACAGAAACACCCAACTTAAAAGCCTGAAGTAGTAAAGCCATTTCGTGTCTCACAGAACAAGAATAGGCGAGTCCACACTGGCTCAGCAGTTTCATTTCGTCTCAGGAACTAGGGCTCTTTACTTCTGCTCTTTCCTCAGCACAGTGCCTTGAACTGAGCCATGTCCCCTCAAAGTTGCAAGATGGTGGAGAAACACATGAGCCAACAGTAGGCCAAAGAAGTGAATCATTTTCAGCATTGAGTCCCTTCCAGTGAGAGAGAAAGCCTTTCCCAGAAGCCCCAAGCAGACACCCCCGTAAGTCCTTGTCCATGGAACACCCAGGACATTATCCTAGACTTTCCTCCTCTCCTTTATTTCCTTCATTCTCTATGACCTACCCTTTCTGGTGTTAAATAACCTGTCTCCTGCCCTCTATTTCTATGTGTACTATGTCATTCAGATCCTCATTAACTTGACCTGTTCTCCCTGCTTCCAGTTTACCTTTTACAGTGCCATTGAACTGATCTTTAAAACACAAATCTCACTATATCACTGTCCTGCTTAAAACCCTTCAGTGGTTCCTAATCACATATGCAATTAAATTTCCATTCTTCTTCCCCTGGCTATAAAAATGACCTCTCCCCTCTTTAAAAAAAAAACAACAACAAAAATCCTACATGGCAGCTCAACACAGCTGATGATGGATGGAGAGCTGCTGTGGCTGGAATGGGGACGGGGAGGGGGCTCAGAGCTCAGCCGGTGGATGCTTCTGCTTCCCTCTCGTGGAGACCCCAGAGCCTTTCCTTGGATCCTCTGTAGTCAAGGCAAGTGGAAGCACCTACCAGGCAGTGAATTTGGACCTCAGGAGTGTCATTCAGGCAGCAACACAGACTTCGATGGCAATGGAAGAGAAGGTCAGGAACGTACTCTCTCACAGAACGCGGAGTAAGAAGGGAAGAGGGCCTTCTAGAAAGACAGCTCCAAGAGTTATGGTGATGGAATGCCCCCAAGTCATGTAATATTCAGTAACACAATGTTTCTATTTCATCTTTCAAACTCTGGCAATGTGCCTTAGAGGAGAAGTTATGCTCTGATTGTGTTAGACAAGTCAACCCAATCAGATGCTTGCAGACAAGGTGAGAATGGTTTAGAAGACCAAAATGCAACTACTATCAAAAGCTGAGCATAACGAATTGTAACTGTGTGAATAGTTCCTGTGTTTACATTTTCATTCTTACAGGTTTTTTTTTAAGGTAAAATATTTGCAATTGGCTTTGATAATCCCTAAGATTAGTCTTTTTTCATTTCACAAGGATTTCCATATCAGAAATCCTGAATTGACCAACATGTGTTTCCATGTCTGATCAGGGTAGTTTGAGGTTAAATGGGCTTAAGAATGGAATTACAAACCCTATATAATAAAAGCCTAAGTGGTGTCACGCGACGTCGTCACAAGATGGCCACCACAAGATGGCCAGCAGGGGAGGGTAGTTATGGGTGATCAGGCCGACAGGGGAGGGCAGTTAGGGGTGAATAGGCCAGTAGGGGAGGGCAGTTGGGGGTAATCAGGCCAGCAGGGGAGGGCAGTTGGGGGCGATCAGGCTGGCAGGCAGAAGCGGTTAGGGGCAATCAGGCAGGCAGGCGAGCGGGTAGGAGCCAGCAGTCCCGGATTGTGAGAGGGATGACCGGCAGTTGGACATCCCCCAAGGGGATGGTACAGGCTGGGCTGAGGGACACCCCCCACCCCCCGTACACAAATTTCATGCACCAGGCCTCTAGTAGAGCTATAAGAACTGAATATGCTAATTATTCTCCCTGCTCTTGATAGCAACATGTATTTATTCTTTATGTCTATTTAAGAATTCAGTCTTTTGTGTTGTTCCATGAAGACTAAAGAGCTATTTAGATGCAGTTTACATTCTGTTATGGAATATGACTTTCTTAATGAGGAGGTTAAATATTAATGAAGACTAATTGATGAATAATTTTAACAAGCAAAGGCATTATCAGTTTGAAGCAAGCACTTAAAGGTTTGTGCATTCCAACATGTATTTGCATACTCGGTGACATTGTCAAAAGGGAGGGAGGAGGACGAGAGGAGTTGGACAAGGCATCGGGCAGGTAATGAGGGCAGCTCCAATTAGACCAGACTGTCCAACTCTATTTGGTTTAATCCATTCCCATTCCAAGAAGGGTTTGAAGAGAACGTGTCTTTTTGTGTCTTGTGTGGGCTCCAGGCAAGCAGGTCTTCAATCTTGTCACGTCCCCCCCTACACCCCCGCCAAACCCTCCCTCCTGTCTACCGAGGCCCCATTTCTGCCATCACGGTAGGTTTTTCTGCTTCTACCTTTATGGTCTGCCCCCACCACACCCTGTTTCTGACCACTAGTCTTTGCTGTCAGGCTGTGCAGGCAAATTTGTATAGGCAGCTCCCTCATGGCTCCCGATGGCTTCATAGGATCTGGCTGCTGGCATCTGTCAATTACTGGCTCTTCCAGGCTGTCCAGCCGAGGAGCACCCCCCCCCCCCCCCCCCCCCCCCCCAAATGGATCTTCACAGAAACTGGGCACTGGCGAGAAGCAGAAAATATGTATCAATTGTCTGAAGCTTCAAACTGATTGTTATTCTCTCCTAATCCTTTTAAATGTGGTATGTGTTTAAATTAAGAGTAGCGGAGACAAAATGACTTGGGAAAATGATAATGTTATGCTCGCCTGTTTCAGTGACACGGTAACTTGGTTAAGAAAATTGACTGTCAGATTTGATCAGTGTTGTTGACTTGAATAGCTGTCATTCCCGGGCTGGAGTAGAATTCTCCCCCAGCAGGAGCGGTTTAATGACTGAAGGATCCAGTCACCACATGAAGCAGCCGCACCTCCATGCATTGCTGACCTCCTACATTGCCTCTCTCTTCTGCTTTTCAGGTACCACTTGCTTGATTGCTCTGCTGTCAGATAAAGACCTCACGGTGGCCAACGTGGGTGACTCCCGGGGGGTCCTATGTGACAAGGACGGGAATGCCATCCCCTTGTCTCATGATCACAAGCCTTACCAACTGAAGGAAAGAAAGAGGATCAAGAGAGCGGGTGAGCTTGTGAACGCCTCCAAGCCCTGTCTGCTGTCTCGCTGGGTGGACAGGGGCCTTGCTTGGATAGCCCCTGGGGCATCAGAGGTTTAGTTACCTGCAATTAGTAGACCCCCACAGAGGCTGCCGCTGAAGTAGCTGAGACTGGACTTTGTAATATTGCCCAGCAAAATAAAACAGCCACTGAATTCGCCCTTCTTTATGGTCAAGGATTCCAAAAGGGCCAAAAAAGCCCTTTGCTCGTTTAAAGGCTAACAACATCTTTGGACTCCTGCTTGCCGTATCCCGCTTCCCTCCAGCCATGCTAGACTACTAACCTCTCCCCAAATGAACCGTGTTTCTGATACCTCATGCTTTTTTTCTTTGTTTTAAATATGTTTTTATTGATTCTAGAGAGAGAAGAAGGGGGAGAGAGAGAAAGAGAGAGAGAAAGAGAGAGAGAGAGAGAGAGAGAGAGAGAGAGAGAAACATCGATCAGCTGCCTTCCACACACCTTTTACTGGGGATCAAGCTCTCAACCCGGAATTGAACCGGTGACCTCTCGGTGCATAGGACGATGCTCAACCAACTGAGCCACACCGGCAATGGCTGATATCATGCCTTTGCAAATGCCGTTCCCACTGTCTAGTGGATAGCAATTACTTGTCCTATAAAACCCAGTTTAAGGGTGTCCTTTCGGAAGCCTTCCCTGTCACACAGTACCACAGGCTCCCCGGGCTGGGTTAGGTGCGTCTTCATTCCTTCCCCAGCATCCTCTGTGGACCTCGTGGGTCACCTTTTACAAACTATGGCTCTCTTATCTGTCTTGCCTTCACAACTGGGAGCTCTTTGAGGCAAGAACATGGTCTGCTCATTTCTCCAAGCAGCTTGCTCAGTACCTGGTATAAATAAATACTTTAGGGAGTGGGAATCCCCTTTTTATTCTTTTTTTTTCCCACAACTAATGGCTGGGGATATAAACTTACATTCTGGAATTGGGATGGAGATGGGGAATGTAGTAGACAGCCTTCCTTTTTGGGACATCTACTATGGTATGTCCCCACCTGCTTTTGTGTGACAGTTTGCTGCACCCAGTTGGGCCAGATCATGTTGGTCTTTCTGTCTCCATTCTTGAAAGTGTCTCCAACAACAGTGACACCAACTGCTATCGCAGGATCACTGTGTTGGGAGCCAACCCTAGCAATTGACATGCGCTTTCGCTTTCCCTACCTTATGAGGTCGATACTGTCATCCTCACTTTACCACCAAGAAAATGGAGCCTCCAAGAGGCTTGTGTACACAAGGACGCGTGGCTAGTGAATGGTGAGACCCGAATTGAGACCAGGACTGTCTGACCCCAGAGCCCGCGCTCTTGCCCATTAGACCATACTTCCTGGAATGTTCTCAGGCATCCCCAGCCCAGCTGTATGCTCACTCCGCCCTGATCATCACAACTGGAAATCATTCCTTCCTCCTCTTCTGGGGGTGCTTGTCTCTCCTGCGAGAATACTACTTTGTGCTTGTAGCTGTTGGTACACGCGGATTTTCTTTCCTGCCAGACTGTCTAGTTCTTTAGAGAAAGGTCTGGATCTTGCACAACTTTATAGTCTGCAAATCGCCTTGCATGGAGTATGTATTTAATAACTACCTGACAAATAATATGTGAATGAACAAAGTTCTAATTACTTTAAAGAAAAATAATAATAATATATATTATTGAGTGCATGTTACATTCAGGCACTGTGCTAAGTGATGTACATGGAATAACTCCTTTCTCAGAACTCAGTGGAATAGGTACTATTATTGTCCCCATTTTGCAGCCAAGGAAACTGAGGATCAGAGAGATAGAGTTTCTCATCCAAAGTCACATATAGCTGGAAATAGGCTAGGAATAGGCACCCTGAATTGAGCTCAAGCAGCCTGACCCAAAAGCTGAGCCTTGAAACACTGTGCTAAAATACACAAGTTTTGTTTTTTTTAATCCTGATCCTATTTGGGGTACTGTTTTGAGAACTATAGAGGCACAGTGAAGGGCAGTCTCAAGCTAAATGATGGATTCCAGCGCTGTCTCTGGTCCCCAAACACCTGCCTTTTTGCCACTCTCCTCAAATCCCCACCCTCAAAGCTTTCTACTGTCAATCACTGAGCTGTCAAGGTGTTAAGTTAAAACTGATGCCCTCATCCACACACATCTCCTACCCTCATTATTCTTATTGATATTTTCTTGAAGTCATTTAAGATACAAGGATGAGGGCAGGAGGATCTACTGGTAGAGTGCCAACCCTCAAGCCATGCGGCAGGGGTGCTGTTCCTTCCTGGCAGTGCCAGGGTGGGGTGAGGGGAGCACATGCGATATGTCACCTGCAACAGTCGGCCTTCTGTACATGTGCCCAGACTGTATGTACCAAGTGTGTGAGCTTTCTGTTGGTCAGGCTAATGAGCTCATTCTCTTCCCAGGTGGTTTCATCAGTTTCAATGGCTCCTGGAGGGTCCAGGGCATCCTGGCCATGTCTCGATCCCTGGGGGATTATCCGCTGAAAAATCTCAACGTGGTCATCCCAGACCCAGACATCCTGACCTTCGACCTGGACAAGCTCCAGCCCGAGTTCATGATCTTGGCATCGGATGGCCTCTGGGATGCTTTCAGCAATGAAGAAGCTGTTCGGTTCATCAAGGAGCGCTTGGATGAACCTCACTTTGGGGCCAAGAGCATAGTTTTACAGTCATTTTACAGAGGCTGCCCTGACAACATAACAGTCATGGTGGTGAAGTTCAGGAATAGCAGCAAAACAGAAGAGCAGTGAGCCCTTCAGGGCTCAGCTGCCGTAGACTAAAGGACTTTCAACACACTGGTCTCTTTTAATGTCGTGCAGCTGTGGAAGTTACAGTTAGGATCCCCCATCCCAGACGTGGGATGCCCCCTCCCTGGCGGTCTTAGGTCTGTATCCAGTGACGAGGAAAAGAGGGCCGATGTTGAGAGGCTGGAAGATAGTTTTTTCATGTTTCCCGATTCTTTCATCCAACGTTCAAAATGTACAAATATCTAGTCGTAGAGTCACATGTATGATGTGAATGGCATATGTGCCATGTGTTCTCCCTTTTAAGGTTCTTTTCAAGATTTCAAGATCCCTTACAGGGCCCTCCAGGCATCAGACTTTAGAGCAGTGAGCAGGGCAGGCCGCCCAGAGCTGCAGGAGACAGGCCCTGGCGTCCCCTGCGCGTCAGGGTGGCAGTTCTCTTACTGAGGGCAGAGCTGCCCTGAGAAGGCTTTACCCTCCTGCGCCCAGGTTTTCCACTCCGCAGCAGCCCAGAAACCGATTTGGAGTGGTTTGCTGTTCCGTGGCTGCTCTTGGAAACGGAGGGAAGAAGAGACTGCAGCGGCTACACAGCAGAAGTAACCTTTTCCCTCCTCCCTTTATTCCTTATATAGACTTGTGTACCCTCTAGCCGGTCTTTGTGCCAGTCTTTGTGCACTTATCCTAATCCTGCATGACCTTAACCTTTTGCTTACACCTTACTGTATGTAATAGGCAGCTGTTAAACTTCACAACTGGAAGCCACATTTTTTTTTGTCTTTTGTCACCAAGAAACCTATTAAGGGAAGTCAGAAAAGCAAATCACAGTTATCATAATTCCTTCCATCTTTAAGGGTAGATAGGGGGCGGGGGGAATAATGGCTGAATAAGTCACAGAGCCCCCTTGGGAAGTTGCTTGTTTGCATTGGGAGAGAAAGTTGGGGAGGTTACTACCCTGAATTGAGCTCCAGCTGCCAGTTTTATGCCCTTCCCCTCTTCTCCTATCCTGGTAGCTTTCAAGTATCTTTCAAGGAGTGTTCTGAGAAGCAGCAGAACTGCATGAGTATTTCTCGAAACCCAGGCCAGAGTTCCCACCCACATTTTGGAGTTTGGTGGTAAATTGCGGGATGCGCTTCTCCATGACTGTGGAGAAGCAGGTAGCTTCCCCAGGCCAACCATTCAGTGACCACAAAGCGGGTTGGGAATTCAAGCTCAAACCGGTATTGTAAGGCAGCCCAGAGTTATTCTGGGGCCAGGCTTGCTGCTCTCTGTTTCCTATTACCAAAGTCACATTTCCAATCTCAGTATTTTATAAGTTAATTGACAGAAAATGCTCAGGCATCCTGTTTGCCTGACGGCGGTGGCTCAAGCAGCCAAACAGGATTTTCCGTGCGTTCCCAGCCCTGTGTCTGAAATGCCAGGGTGTCCACCTGGCTCTGTTCTTTCTGAGTCGGCATTTGTCATTATAGCTTCTCAAAGGCCCCATTCGCTTTCCGCAGCTGGGGAGCTTTTCTGAAGCAGGTTCCAGAGAGAACCCGGGAGGATGAAGAGTCCCTCGTGGTCACCAAGGACTGCAGTCTGTCGATTCCTCCCAGCACTTACCTTTTTTTGACTCCAATGAGAATGAATAACAGTATCCCAAGAGCTTTGATTATTTTCGTAAACTGTGACTTTAGAATTCCAACATTAGGATTAGAACCTTAATAATTTTTTTAGCCATAGAATGTTCTAGTACAAAACACCTACCACCATGTAGACTAAGCTCTTTGCCTAATTAAGAGGCACTGAACAGTTGGATGTGTGTATTTGGGGTGGGGGTCAGGAGAGGAATGTGGAGAACACACTGACTGTGGTCACTGTGGGATGATCAGGCCAGGTGGCCTGAGTTTGCCTGAAGATTTAGGATAATCTAACTCCAGAAAGTTACCAAAGCCCATCATCCAACTCAAGTTCAAGAATAAGCTCTTTAATTTTACGGTACACAGTCAATTTTCCTTTTTTATTTTTAACTCCAAAATTCATAATCACAAGGGAAGAGGTTTTTAAATGCCATGATCGTCGTTGTTGTCCAAAATTAAAATAGTATGGTTTTGGTGAAGATGAAAAAGAAAAGCTACTAAGTTAAATTAGTAAGTTAGTGTTGTTTGCTGCAGAACATCTCAGTAGGTGGTGCTGAGGGCAGGAGTGCATGACTGTCCCCCTAGCTGAGGTTCACACGGCATCTTGTACGTTTTGCTTTGTAGAATTAATTCATTTCTGACTTTAACCACGTAGTATGTGTATTTCCTATTCCCTTTTTTCCTCTCATTTTGGCTTGTAATATAGATTTTTAAAAGATAGAAATTCTAGGCAGAATAGTAGCACTTTGGTTAATACCTATGTCTACAAAATACTACAATCAGAGTATTTTGCTCCCTTCCCCTGTCCTGGAGCTCGCTCTCTCTGACCCTCCTCCAGCTGTTGGGGGTCTACAGACTCACCCTCTGGGTGCCCTGTGGCTCCTGGCTGCTCCCTTCTTCTAGGGACAGGGAAGGTTGAATGTAGCCACTAGGGAAACTGAGTTGAGGAGTTTGCATGTGAAGCCTCCCTAAACAGCACTGCCAAAGCTTTGGATTGTCGCCGAGGCTGCCCAGACTCCCCAGCCCGAGTTCACCTTGCCAATAGCTCCCACGGTGCCAAATCTGGGATGGTTTTTCAGTCCTTTGGAAATGAAGCTGGGAACGAATGACCACATGCCATGAGCCCCCAGCAAGATGCCAAGCCCAGGCCTCCTCCATGCGCTGCTCTGCTACTTACCGCTCCACTGGCCATTCTTAAAATGGATTGGGATTTGGAGGGGAGGGCAGGGGGTGTTAAGGAAGGGAAATTTTAAAAAAAATCATTGTATTTGCAATTCTCTAATCAATGGAATAAATGATACTTACATAGAAAATTCCAAAGCCAGTTCCCAAGACCTGCATTTATTTAATGTGACCCATTAGCCCAACTCTGAAGTTGTAGTTCTCATGCACATATGTACACATTACTGGTTACCAGTGGCCTCTTGAATCTTGTCTATGTAATACTCTTATTTCAGAGTGTTTTATAGAGTGAAGGGGCATATGCAATCTGGATAAGTTAAAACAGGCCTTATTTCATACAACTTGAACGATGTCAACCCATGTGCATTTTGTGCAAACAGGATTGCATGAGAGTGATGACATCATCATTTCAATCCTAAAGTAATTTTAGGAGATTGATTACACTATTGAATTGGGATATCTATATCACTGGGCTATCTGACAATACACAAGGGATTCAGAAAGGCAGTGATCACTTTTTCTTTACCAGGCAAACCTTGATTTCCTCCCACCCCCGAGTTGTTTTCAGGCCAAACTCTTAAATCTGAATCAATGCAGAAGGTTTAGAAAGCGCAACATTTCATTGTACATTTCAAAGTATAGTAATACATACTCTGGGTAAACAGTTTCCAATGATTTCAGATTTTTTTCCCTCCTTTTGACCCATCTCTAGACTGATCTTTCCTTATTATGCCCCCCAAATTGCCTTAGCTCATCACTCCAGCATTCCTGACCCAGAAATGACATGCCTGCTAGATATCACACTGGGGCCTATTTAACTGCCTCTAGATTAAATCATTGATATCTAGACTTTTGAGCTAGTTAGCTGCATACCACCAGAGTAATAGAATCTCAGTATCTCCCAAAGTGAGTTCCACAGAACTTTAAATGTCCTACAGAAGGGAAGAAGCACACCACGGATGTAATTTCAGTTAGGGTAGTATTTTCCAGATTAATCTGACCACAGAAGCTTTTTTTGAGTAAAACTTAGTAACATTCCAAGGAGCTCATGTTCCATAGGACCCACTTTGGGAAATTTTGTTAAATGGAAATATTACTGTTTTTTCATCCACTGTGATATGACTCTTTGTAGTTGTAGTACAATTTGTAATTTAGAAGCACCAATCCTTTCAAGTAAGAGGCTGAGCTGTTCATGAAAGCAGTTTTAAGAAATAGCATCCTTTACTGTGACCATCAGCAGCCTCGCATGGACAGTAGAAGCTCAACAATCCTACCTGAAGCCCCAACCATTGTCTCCCTCTTCAATGTGAATACTCAGCAAGAGTCTTTGCCATCCAGAGTGAATCAAAATAAATATTTTTACATTTCATCACTATTGAGAGTAAAAAAAAAATCTATCATAATAAAAGTGTAATATGCTAATTAGACCAGACATCCTTCTGGGACGAAGCCGGGCCTGCAGCTGCGGGATTGAGACAGCCGCCCTGTGGCTGCAAGGGAGGCAGCCACGGCTGTGAAGGCCTACTCTTGCAGGAATTTCGTGCACCGGGCCTCTAGTTTAAAATAGTAGAAAATGAGGGAAAAATTATAAACTGTTAACACTGTCCTCTGTTCTTCTTTCCAGATTCAGTGAAATAATTTGAAATCACAGCTCATTTGTTCTAAAATCCCTGTCCCATGTTGTCCCACCCTTCACATTTTCTATACAGAATTAAGTTTGGTGAGTTATCTCTTGCCTAAAATGTCAGGTTTATTGTCACTCTCGACCTGGACAATGGGTTCTGGAAACTCTGAGAGATAATCTCAAAATAACAGATAAGACAAATCTAGTCAAAAACATGGTACAAACTGAATTTAGGGAAAAATCATTAACCTAAAATCACATCCAATATTTAGGAATACACTTGCCCTCTGGACGTTACCCAAAATAGTAAAGAACTGAAAATAAAATCACTTAGATCAAGAGGAAGATTACAAAGGGCAGGTGACAGTCGAGACTCTAATGCTTCCATTAGACATGTGCTTCTCCACATGTTCTAATATGGAAAAGTTTTGATTCTTAATAATGTGGATGCTTTGTCCGTTTTTAATTTTTCCCACTGTGAAGCTGAAAACTGTTTAACCAAGGGATGATTATGACAATGTTTATGTGTTTAGTAACAAACAAAACACACCATCATCTGTACAATCACCTTAATAAATCCAAGGTGAGGACTTTGAAGAGAGCAGGTAGTAAATGTTGATTTTAACAAAGCATCACAGGCATTTTCACAATTCAAAACTCTGCCCCAAAGCAAGCAAGCAAGCAGCCAGCAAATATGTAGATTATATTTAGAGGTGTGGTTCCATTTATTCTAAAAATCCTATAATCTGGCCTCTGACATTTGCCAGATCCAAATTAATCTCAAAAACCTCCAGCGACCGGAGTCCCTAGCTCTGAGCAAAGCAGCTTACTGTAAAGGCCTGGGAGCAGATTGTGGCTGGGCCTGTGAGGGGGCAGGACAACCTCGCTGGGTCACTGGCTGCCTCTGTAGGAGACGGACCGTGTCATGAAGAAATTCAGAGGTTAAATGTGATATCATGCGTTAGTATCCCCACCTATTTCTAGATTAATTAGATAATGCATAATTTAAAATGTGTTGATTCAGAAGCAAAGGTAGAATAGTCAAGGAATTAGGGGTAAAAAAACACCTTTAGAATACCCAGATAGTATAAAAATGTGAAAAGTAGGTTATCCAAAATTTGGATGATCAGACTTTTACCATACACAAGTTGTATTTAATAGTGAGTTTTTTGACATCAGCATATACATGAGTAGAAGGCAGTTGTTCCCACTTTTCACCTATTCAAATGCAAGGCTTCCTGAAGAGTTGACTAATGCTTCGCTTACATGTTAATGAAGACAAAATTCTAATGCTCCTCTTATAGGACTGATGGCACAGGCAGAATCCCATTTAAGAAAAATAGTCTGGAACATTTTTAATCAAAAAAATACAAAATTAATTTCCAGTGTGATCAAAGTCAGAATGTAAAGAAAACATTTTTAAGAAAATATAAAAGACAAACTCATAGGGGAATACTATAAAAGGAAATATTTTAAATTAAGAAAAAGACATTTTATTACATCATGAATCATGCTTTCTGGTATTTGTGCTCTTTCTGATGTGAAGGAGATAATATTGAAGTAAGAAAATGAACATTGAGCTATTTGTAAAGCTAGTAAGATTATACTTCCTATTTCATTCATCCCCAATAAAAATGGATAGATGTGGTCTTGTTTATTGCTGTCCTAAACTACCTTTACTGTCCTAGAATCTGTTCCCTATCCAAACCCTAGACATGGTTTTACCCTAAATCCTTAGAATGTATGAATTTTCGAGAAGGAAATACCCCTTTTTAGAATTTTAAAAAATAATACAATAGACTGCATGATAGACCTTCCATTTCAGAGGGCCCAGATAAAACTGAGGTCAGGTAGACAGTCACAGCTACACGTGAGAGTGAGTTTAACACGCCGGTAGTTTTCCACACGCCAACATGAGCACCAGTGAGTATTCAGTTTAAAACAGAATTTCACAAAAACAAACTCCAGAGTGATTGAATGTTCTTGCTTCTTAGAGATATTTCTAATCCATATAATGCAAAGGGTCATGTTTGCTCATATAAGCTTTTAAAATCCTGTAGAAGTGATGTATTAGACATCTCTAACCCAAGAGAATGATGTCTCATGTGCAAATTTTAAATTACCATCTGCCTTAGTATGTAAGGACAAACAGTGGCTGCTTAGTTTAATAATGAAAAGGTATAAAATCCTGCTATGGGGGGTGGGGAGGGAGGGGGAGGACTAGAACCATGGGGACTTCAGTGAGAATACCCATATTTGAGCTCCAAGACCACAACCAGTCTATGTGTTTGTCATCTTTATTGCCCTTTTACCTCAGGCATATATTCAGAAAATGGAAGAATAAATACAAAAATGGAGAAAACCCAATAACTTTTGTTTCTGTTTTAGAAAGCTGTTTGCCCTTTTTAATTGATCTGAAATGCATGTTCACATTGAAACATTAACATCTACAATGTTGTCCCCAGTTTACTGTTCAATTACTAAAGTCAATGGTTTTGATTTATAGTCCTTAGCACAGCTTCAATTCAGATTACAGAGTAAAAATCTATTTTGCAATGCCTCAACATCCCCATGGGCAGCCAGAAAAAAGAAAACAAAAACAAAGAAGTTCTAGTGAGTTCAGAAGAATGATTATTTTGACGAGCCTGAAAAATAGTAATGAAACAGTTAATTCCAAAACACCTCTATGTGAACTGTGTTCACATACATAGTTCCTATATGCCCAAAGTACACGGTGTATTTCTCTTTAATATAAGCATCTTTGCATTTATAACAGATTGATCTACCTGGTGAACAGATGGAATTGGGAAAGTCACTGTTTTTTTTTTTTTCTAAGCAAATCTGCTTATGTATTTTATTCTTTCCTTTATTAATTTTCTTCCCTGAGCACTTGCCTTATGCCAAGCAGAGATAGTCTAATTGAGTGTATCTAGAGGCGGGCACTCAAGCACTATCCCTGCCTTCTGGGCCCTTGGAGTGGAGGCTGCACAGATAGTCTAATGCTCAGTATTGGTCAAATGGGTTGAAAATTGGCACCTTTCATGATTTCCTTCAATGGGCTTAGATTTGAGAGGACAGGCAGAATTAAAGTAAGTGTTTCCTACACATAAGAGAGGGTGAATGGTAAAAGATTGGGAATATCTTGCCCACATTCAAGCAAATTACATCAGATAATTACACTGTGTTTGTTTGGTCAGCTATGTTTTCCTAGGATGGAGTGGGAGGGGGTGAGACAGGAAGGTGGGGACCAGGGGAGGGGTAGGCCACCACTGAAAGCCTTTGTCCAGGGGGTGGGCATCTATTCAAGGGCTCAGCAGTAGACGCCAAAGCCAGGTGTCTCCCTCCCAATCCTTGAGGAGGAAGGAGAGAAGGACAGAAAAGGAGAAGGAGAACATCTCTCCGTGGCCTGTTTTCATTTCTGTCCCAAGAGGCTACTAGTGTAACAACCTCATGCCCCCAAAGAGAACCCAGAACAGTGTTCATCATCAATGTTTATCAATTAGTGAATTCCTTATATAGAAAATTGGCATATTTCAGGAATACAGTTATTTCTTGGTTTTAAATATGAACAGAAGACTAAGTGCCAGATTTTTTTTTGAGAAATCATAAATTTGGTAGCCATACTTTAGACATTCTAGAACCTAAGCACGGAAGTTTTGTATTCTGAATAAGAATAGCAACACCTATTTTCTGTATGGCAAAGCAAAACTAAACACCAGACTTTTGTTTTTAACCACAGAAGTCATCACTTCTTTCTAAATTCTTTGGTCATTTTCCCTAGACCAGCGGTTCTCAACCTGTGGGTCACGGCCCCTTTGGCGGTCAAACGACCCTTTCACAGGGGTCACCTAAGACCATCCTGCATGTCAGATATTTACATTACGATTCATAACAGTAGCAACATTACAGTTATGAAGTAGCAACGAAAATAATTTTATGGTTGGGTCACAACATGAGGAACTGTATTTAAAGGGCCAGAAGGTTGAAAACCACTGCCCTAGACATCTCTTTCTGTTTGTGCCAATTGCTTCTTTATCCCAGAAATATTTGCTGTTGCCAAGTTACATTAGAATCCTATTGAATTAAAATAATAGAAAGTGAATGAGAAGAGATTGGGAATATCTCATTGTGATCAGAAGTGGAGGTTTGTGGTTTTGTTCTTAAGCATGAGAACATATAAAAGGAAATGAAGCCAATTTCCGATTTGGTAAGATTAAAACCACAGGTGGAGCCAAATAATTAAGGAAGGAAAGGAGGGTTGGAGAGGGTAAGAGAAAAAAAAAACCCCACATAATTGAATACTGTTTTTTCATGAATGGTATATAGCAAAAGTTCTGATCTCTTTTTCTGCTGAATTTTGAAATAATAACATTATATAAGCCTTTACTATACCTACTTCAATACCAGGGAAGTTTTTTCCATCAGCCTTTTCTTGCTATTTGAAAAACCATAAAAGGTTATTTGTTTAAAAAACAACTAGAGGCCCGGTGCACAAAAATTTGTGCACTCAGGGGTGGGGGAGGGTCCCTTAGCCCGGCCTGTGCCCTCTCGCAGTCTGGGACCCCTTGGGGGATGTCCACCCACTGGCTTAGGCGTGCTCCCCGGAGGATAGGGCCTAAGCTGGCAGTCAGACATCCCTCTGGCAGCCTGGGAGCCCTCGGGGGATGTCCACTTGCCAGCAGGGAGCAGGCCTAAGCTGCAGTCAGACATCCTTAGTGCTGCTGAGGAGGCAGGAGAGGCTCTCGCCACCACCGCTGTGCTGGCAGCCGTCAGCCTGGCTTGTGGCTGAGCAGAGTTCCCCCTGTGGGAGCGTACTGACCACCAGGGGGCATCTCCTGCATTGAGCATCTGCCCCCTGGTGGTCAGTGTGTGTCATAGTGACCAGTCATTCCCAGTCTTTCTGCTGTTAGGGTCAATGTGCATATTACCCTTTTATTATATAGGATACCAGGATCCATAATTTATAAGTCAGTGCTCTCTTTTAGGTATCTTCAAATTGTACTGAATAATGAAATCACAGGTCAAAAGAACTGCTCAACTCAGTCAGGCTTTCTGGTAAGTTAGTTTCTGAGAACCATCCATAAGAAATACCACAGAACCTTGGCAAAACTTCATTACTCTTGTTACTCTTCAGAGGTTTTTATACCTACTCTTCTATTTCTGTCTCCAAGAGGCATTTGAAACAAGGTTAAAATGTCTGTTGGATGCAGAGCTCAGAGTACATGGCAGTGCATGGTCACTCAAGATGCATGGCGTGTCCTTCAGGTCCTTCCGATGTGTGCTAGGCTAGGGGTAGATGCAGCTTTGTAGAGACTAATGTGTTCATGCAATCACCAATTCTGTGTTGTTGTATACAAACTGAACAGCTAAAGATTCACCCTTGATGACAAGATTAAAGCAAAAATAAACGCATTCAAGTTATTGGACTTTACACATGGGACTGCTTGGTTTTTTTTTTCTTTTTTTGGTTAAACTCATCTTCCATCCTAAAATTTTGTAATTACCTAATGCATCTGAGTTAGAGTAGCTGTTGAGTTCAGAATCACAGAAAGCAAAGAAACAATTCATGGGCAAGGGGTAAGACCAAAGCATAACAGAAGCAGGAGATATAGGAGATGTCAAGACGGGGCATTCTCATTTGGAAAAGGAATAAGCTTGGCTGCGGTTCAAAACAAGGTAACTTTAAGCAATGTGTACAAATACATGCAACAAGTATTGTTTATTGTTAACACAACATTTACCCAACCTTATATCTCATTAACCAAGTTTATATCATATAAACAGTATTAGGTGATAAGGGTTAGATTAGCTATACGTACATGTAAACTTGAGCAATATGGCATGACACTCTTCTAAGAAAAGGGTTCAGAAAAGCACATCCATCTGCAAGGGCTTTCACAAGGTGCAGGAAGAAACACTGGAGAGTTTGAAGGCAGTGAAATATACATATACATATACATATACATATACATATACATTGCTCAAATGTGAACAGTGTCAGGGACCTAGAGGAAGAACAACAAAAGTTAATCACCAGATTGCTGAAATTGGAATTGGATGTAAC